TTACATCCACAATGTAGAGGAATAGAGGACTTGAGATAAGTGGATAGGAAAATTGTCTTGGGAGGTTAAAAGTCTGGAGTAGATCCTTTTCCTTTTCGCTTTGGCATTGTTACATTTTGATTAGCTCATGTAATCGGCAGCTCAGAATGCCTTCGTAGGAGGAGACTGGACACTCTCCCCAATTTCAACTGGAACCAGAACCTAGTAGCTAAAGACCAGATAATGAAGGCTTTGACACTGCCATTTGATTGAACCTAGTCATTTAATTTGGCTTCTAAAAATCTCACCATTTTAGTCAGTCGTCAAGGACCACTTCAAACAAAAGGTGACAAATGGTTGCATTTCAACCGATTTAAGGGAATTCAGAAGACTGATGCGAAAGTTTTTTTATCACAAGATGCCTCGCTCGCAATCACCTCAACTACTCTAAGTAGCACAAACGCCACAGAATGTGGAAATTTGATGCTGAAATTCGCGGTAAAGTACAGAACTCAGACGCACTTCACCTAAAGCATCATTCCATTTTCGAGGAAGATTAAAATTTTTTCTATGGTACAATTAATTGCGAAAGTCAGGCTTCTTCCTCACTGAACGAATATGAGCCCAAACAAGTCTGCATGCAGAATACACTGAGCGCAAAGTGGTCAAAACAAATGGTTGTGCACTTCTTGACACCATCTCCTCCACTGGCACGATATGATGCTTTTGTTTTGAGATCCCAGAAAGGCATGGGACTGGCATATGTGTGATAAAGTATGCAGAAGTCACCCTTTCCACTGTTTTAACCGACGTGATGGACGGTAGTCAAGACTCAGCTTGGTTTCAAATCTGAAGTCGAAACTTTGCTTTGCGCTGGAGGGCGCTGCGGCATGCAGTTGCCAAACGTAGCCTCTGGGCCCCAATACTTAACACTACTGGGTGGGGTCAAGTGATGCTCGATTAAGAGCCAGCTTCGTCGCATTCAGAGAGGTCTCACTCTCAAACGTGAGAATAAAGTAGAAGACAACTTCAGCCATACTCAAGGTGATGAGTGATGACTGCACTTCTTTCCACTTGGCATGCTTGGGGAAAATACACAGTGAAGACTAAGTAAGTGCAATACCAGATGGCACACAACGAGTCTCGACAGCTGTCAGTTGCTACTTTTGTGACCTGTGATGAGAAATGGCAGTGTTCATTGTTAGTCGCACAAAACTGTGCTCACTAGTGTTTAACACCAACGCTTTACTGCTCGATAAAACTGTGAGATTCGTGGAGAAAAGAGCCTTACCCTTAAACAACTGGGCCTCACAATTCCTTTTCCTCTAGAAGCACAATCATGAAGACAATTCCGACTACGCCTAAGGCTTGAAATGAGTGGTGTCTTCTTACCCTCTACACCCTTCACTAGCAATGGATAATTTATTTGGAAAGGAGAATGATGTGTATGTGGAGATGTCTTGGAGCAGAATGATTGCATAATAGATAAAAGCGGCACAAAATAGAATTTTGCATGGTTTTCTGTTCACGAAGGATAGAACGTTGTAAAAAACGACTAATTACACACAGAATGGAGGAAAATATTGAGTGTTTAAGGAGAGCGTTCCGTTTCGAGTTTACCGAACCCTCCCTCCTTCCACCCCTCTCCCTATCCTAACGACAATCGTTCTACCGTGAACTAATAAACACAATCCTTTTATCGTTTGACATTCATACCATAATGTCAAAGATCCATTTTCTGCTCAAACTCGAGTTACTTACAGAATGGAGGTACTTACTCACATTTATCGGTTACTTTACGACAATAAAAAATAGGCTTGATTAAGATAAGCGCAGAAAATCTCCTCAAAACAGTTAAGCATCTGTAATTAAGCCCTTTCCTACGTGAACAACCAAAGTGCGCAATTTTGTACTCACTCCACACACACATACTCCGAAGCAAGCTCGGTTCGACTCTTGCATGGTAGCAGCGCATGCGCTGTGCTCGGCGTCCGGTCACAACGTAAATGCGCACTTTTCGCCGCGGTTCTGCCCAGGAGGTGCGCACCTTGACCGTTAACTCGATCAGAGCTGCATCGCTCTTCCGCCTTCACGTATATTGTGCTCTCCACTGGTGGAAGGGTTTTGTGTGATCGGTAGAGAAATAGAAGATGTGAGTGGACTAATTGCGAGGGCTAGCAATCTACCGTCATTTATCGCACCAAAGTACCTCCATTCATTCTTTAAGGCCGATCCGATGCATACTTAACATTTGAAGTGGTGCACATCATTGAGCTCGGTTTTTGAAAACTATTGGACTCGATGCTATCACAGCTGGTAGTCATGAACTACTCTTCATTACCGATCTCCGGAGCCTTCATAATGCAGAAAATTCATTCCTTCGAGGTTAGAAAGTAGTTCCACAATAGGCGCTCCTAAGGTGGGCATATTTCGGTTGCAAAGTGGAATGATTAGGGCGAGCCAAGCGCTCGTTAAAAGAGTCCAAAAGCACCAGGAGACAATATGATGCAGTGTTCAGTGATGCGGTGATCATAAGCACATTCAAAGTTCAATGACTTCACAGTGAAGAAAAGTGGAACTTCGAGGAGTGCAGTTCCAATAAAAAATTAGCTAACGAGACCTACAAGGGAGAGTTCCATTTATTCCCCTGTTGAGACGTCTGCGACTAACATTGATACAATTGTAAGCATGGTAGAGCAGAAAAGGGAGGGAAGTGACATGGGACACATCGAAAACCTTTGAGACCTCCCAGAGTGGGCCAATAACACATTTCGCTACAGTAAGGGACGGAGTCTCTTCACAACCTCATCTTTCATGAACCTATAAATTCATATTTCCACCTTACTTTTTCCTTTTTAGTTCCAGTTTATAATATAAGCAATTTAATTTTGACTGTATTTTAAGGGTGCAAAAGGAAGAAGCTGGAGCAGGAAAAAAGGGAGGTACTACTATGTAGTCTTGCTCGAAAACCATAAAGAGTTTATCAATAGAAACGAGCTTTTGTGAGGACTAACAAGGTAAGCAACTTTTTAAGTCACTAGAGGAGCGGAATACTTACCGCAGAGCTTGCGCTGCTCACGAAGACTGCGAGGATCATGCCGACAAAAGGAAGGTGAGGCCGTGGTGAGGGTTTCCTCTGGTAAATCGTGACGTAGGGTCACTTGGGTGAAGATGTGCGAGTCACCGTCGTCGCAGGTCATTCCACACATATCAAGGTGGTAGGTGAGGGGCCAGAGCAAACGCTTTGGCTGCGGTTCACTCAGTGAATAGTACAGTGATGCTGGCAGCCCTACAACAGTGATATTCCGTATGAAGTCTTAACCACCATTTTAAACTTTGTAAAACTACTTTTAAACACGATGGTTTGGAGACTACGCTCCTTTATTACTGTGGCCTCGAGAGATTCCCACATCGACTTAATGAGCAGCTTAGTCGTCTGAGATTGAGGGAGGGGATGCGTCACACAATGTAGGGTACAAAAAATTACTCTCCACAGTTCAGAAAACAAACAACAAGTCGCCTCAAGAGAATTTAAGTCACTTCAATGCGATCCACAGTTAGTGCTCTGAGGTGATCTGAAAGCTCCCCTCCTACGTGGATTCCCAAATCACCAAACTTCCTCAGGAAGAAAGCGCATTCATTTCCCGCACAGAATTTGCATTAACTGCCTATTATCGAAGACATTTTTGGATTTTTTTCGCGGAGCAGGGACTACACTGCTGTTTTGTTGTGGATTTTGTACAGGTTCCATCTCAAAGCACCCGTAATTTTAAGAAACATTGACAGGACCCAACGGTTGACACGTCATATGAGTCATTACACGTTCACAAACAGAAAAACGCGATCACAAATGGAGGTTTATTTGTCCTAGGGAGGAGCTTCTCCGGGGACGCAAATCAGACTGTCAGTGTAACGACACACAGTACAGCGTGTCCTAGTGGTGTACCGAAAGTTTTTGAGGTAGGAGCGAAAACGATCACAACTTGGGACTCTTTTAAGAAATAAATACTTAATTATTTTAGATAGTGAATTATCACTTTGTATTTCCGAAAGGCG